GTGTGCGTGTGCGTGTTGCAATTTTAATTTTATAATAAAACTGGATAACATTTTTACTAGTATATTTTTGTATGTTTTTATTTTTATTGATTCTACATATATTTCAAAGCTAATCAAATGTTTTTTAACGATAGATTCTTAAGAGAAGAGTCTACTTTAAATTGATTAAGTAATTTTCTAACAGAGACATTCAATGTATGATATTCTTTCCCCTCTGATTAATTAGAATAACAGTGGGGACTGAAATCTTTGATCTGTTATACAGCTACACCTGCTGTTTCTTTATTTTTTTCTTTAACTTCGTATTATTTATTCCGAAATTATTCTGAGCGCGCGCAGAAAAAAATAATACTGTACAGCTGTAGAAACATACTGTAATACTGTAGAAACATACATCTTAGAATAGAGAAAAGGTTTGATAAATACAGATCACAATTATTTTACATAATATAAGTATTAAATTACATTATTATATTAGCAAAAAACTAAAAAGAATTTATTAATTGTTAAAATGATTTAACAAATTTTGAAGTTTGTACATTATAATTTCATAAAACAAAATTTCAGGTAAGAAACAGCAAGATAACATTCAACGTAGTATTCATATTAGAAAACCTCGAGCTGAATGCCATGCTGCACTGTCGTGCTTGCAGGCTTGTCAGTAACTTATCCGAATGTAGCTGGCACGCCAAAGAATTATGCGATGCTGGGGTAATAAAAGCACTTGTGGCGCTCCTAACATCAAAAACAGATGTACAAACTTATTGCATGGCTATCAGAGCTGTAAGGTATGTAATTGTTCTCAATTCCATAATAATTTATTTTTTATCAACTGTATTTAATTATAAATTTTATACATTTAATATTACAATTATCCATTTTACTTACATTCTAATTACATTTGTAGGAATATCTGGAATGTTCACAAAAACATTAGGGAAACGATGATAGAGTTGGAAATTATCAAGCTGGTTGCTCAATTATTTGTTATGGCCGAAGAGAAATCCAATCTAGATCCTAAATATGGCAAACTTGTAGATGCTTGCTTGAAGGCCATGTGTATATTTCTCGATACGTTAGATCCACGATGCGGCAATCAGATGTACGTGGACAAGGATATGTGGGGCTACAAGTGTCTTATGCGTTGCTGCAGCGCAAGAAATAATAAGATGGCTGTTAAATGTCTATATACTCTTTGTCAAATAGCGGAATGTCGATTGTGTCTAGGTGTTTCTGGAACAGTTAAAGAACTCATAGCTCTGATAATAGAGACAGACGCTAACTCTAATTTTATTTGCAAGGAGATATTGTTGAGCCTAAGTTTGTTTTGTCGAGAATCAGTAAATCGAGATAGAATCAGACTGAATGATGGATTACAGATTATCCTGGCATTGTTGAATAAGTCCGAATACGAATGTTACCATTCTAAATTGTTGGAAGCTCTCTCACTATTCATCCACGACGATATCGGCCTTGATATTCTGACGAGACATGGTGTATTAGAGATTCTCGTAACGAAATTGAAGAATATTGTAGCTAAGAATAGTGAGAGAAGTAACACATCTAGAAAACGTTCCAACGACTATCTGATCGATAATTATCGCAAAAAGTCTTCTAAATACTCCATTTTGAGGTGAAATAGATTACATTATATATATATTTATAATATGTGACATCAGAATCTCGATTTAAAATGTACTGAGCATTTAATGATTCATATTGAAATTAACTATATTGATTTATTTTTAAATTTGCAGATACAGTATGGATCTTTACCGTGATGATTGGAGTCCAAAAAGTGCTACAAGTGCCTCTTCATCATCACCGCCTAGCACACCACCCTTGCCACCTTATTTCGATTTCAGTGCAGAAAGTGACGATCTAAAAGATGATGTTTACAGTCCGGTCTACAGCGATAAAGAATGTGATAATGATGAAGGTACGTTATCTTTCTTTAATACCATTGATATAACTTTTATTTTGTTACATATTATTGTAATTAACATTTTAAACAAAGTATAGCTAGATTCAAATTTATTCGTCTAAATTAATATCTCTATGTATCATATTGTAGAAGAAGAAGCTGCTTCTCCTAGGAGCTACAAATCATTGACAACTGTCGAAGCTGATTCCGATTCTTCCACTCTTAGCTCCGAGTTGTTTTCGGAAACGAATGCTTGCGAATATTATACATTATTATTACTGAGTAAATTAAGTTTTTCTTCTAAGCCTATCGACAAACTGGCCGAACCCATGACCATTAAATCGCTAATAGATTACATAAAATACACAAAAAAGCAAAATATTCTAAGGGACACTGCAGTTAAAATATTGATAAAGATCGTAGGGTAAGATTTTTTCAAATTATAAACCTCGTATTTACACAATTTTTTGCATTTTTATTCTTTGTTTTAGAAAAATTTTATTTGTATCACACTTATGTTTGTCTAGGAATGCGGAATACTTCATACGATTAGTAATACAAGGGTTTGTGCTTGAAATACAAACTCTACCGGAAGCGGAAGATTGCATGCAACATTTACGCATAGTGGCGGATACCGGCGGTGCCACCGGACAATTATCGTTTCTATTGCTGCGCGGCGAAGAAGAGCATAAACTACTGACCGCAGTGTCGATACCACTTCTCGTTAAGAAGCATTGCACCCTCAGGTGTTTGCTGAAAAAACACGATGGAATGCAGCTAATATTTCGTCTGTTGGCGGACTCGTCGCATAAATTACACAAATGGGCGATCTGGTCAATTTGCCACTTGGCGAAGACATTTTATTCAGACAATTCGGACTTGATCATTGATACAGTGAATACAAACGCCATCAAAATATATCGTAATATGAAACCGTCGATATTATTTTCGTCAACAGTGATATTAGAGTTGGATGATGGCACTACCGTTAAAGCTTGCAAGGAAGTATTGTGCCAGTACTCGCCAGTCTTCTCCGCTATGCTGGAGGGTCATTTCAAGGAATCGAACAAGAAACTAATTCAATTGAGGAACATGTCACGTAACGCCCTGAAAACGCTGATACTAGCGATGAGCGATGACAAGTTCAAGAATCGAAACATTGAATCACTGTTGGAGGCTGTGCTATTAGCCGATTATTTCCTCATGCCGAATGTTTTGATAGATCTGTTAACCGAGACTTCTATAAACAAGCTCAATCATGAGACCGTCTGTCGAGCATGGTGCTGGGCAAGGAAACACTCTTGTCATGAGTTTAGATCTTTTTGTGTCAAGAAATTTCTGACTACAAAAATGTCATTGAGTGAAACAATACGGACGTTCCACGATTTCTATACCACCAATGCCTTCGATGAGTTCCTATGCGAGATCAGGGACTTAATTACAGACGAGTTATACCGATGGTAAAAACATTAGATGGCTATTGAATTCGGATTAATGCAATTGCTATGAATAAGAATGATATTCGAGATCTCTATGATAAATCTTTAAAGAATATGGGCTCTAAGATCAGAATAGAGTAAACTTGGCTTTTTAATCATTATTAATTTATGTTTACTCTAGTCTTTTTATGGGAGGATTCTTTGCATAAACTTGGTTCATTTCTAATTAAGATTTTTCGATAATTTATACAAGGTACATATCTCTGAAAAAGATGATTTCCTTTTTAATGAAGAAATAAAATTGAGTAAAAATATTTTATGAGAAAATATTAAAAATATAATGTTTAAAACACGATTTAATCAGATAAATATTATAACAATTTTTATACGATATGATTATTTTTTCTTGTACAAAATTCAATTGATCATAAAAGTGATTATCTTTTGTATATTTATAGCAATAATGTTATTTGCACATGTTACATGCAATCATAATGAAAATCCATAATGACAAATTCTCTCTTGATTTCCAAATCTATTGTATATAAAACTATTTTTCTTTATTTGCATTCTAATAAAAAACGTTCAGTGGCGAAAGATCTGATTATCAAAAACCATGTAACCGAAATACAAGCATAAACATTGAGTATACTTATGACATCCGTGAAGTTTATCACAGTTAAAATAAATTATTATTATAATATTAGAAATATCAAACAATGTCCTTGAGGCAATAGGAGTCCACCGCTGGATGTAGGGTTGCGAATAAATTCCAATATTTGTCTTCTCTTACGTACGTTTCGATTTTATTTTTTAAGTCATCTTCAGCAATATCATTAATTAAAAACGCTATCTGGAACTCATCTAAGTAAAATTATCATCCACATCAGTTATCTAGCTGAGTGAAATAATTTAGTACTTGCTCTATGAGCCCAAATCAGCGCTTACAATACATTCCAATCTAATATACATAATACTACTCTATTTAATATAATAAACATTTTTATAATTATTATCCAATTTTTAATATTGCTTGTTACAAAATTGTGTCTCAACCATATAATATTAGACATTGATATTTTACAGTTTCTTTAGTAACATTTATCTTATTAGAGAGATATATACATATGTCATTATATTCATAGAAACCATCTTTTTCAAAGACATCATGTTTGTAATTATCGTTTAAATATCACGTTGCATATTAATATTAATTCTGTACATATTTTAAGATGTTCCAAGCATATTTTAAGCATTTGTACATAATACAAATAACATAGAAACATTTATAAAATCATCATCTTCCATGTATTAATGTTTTTCGTATTTAAAAATATATACAATAAATTCTATTTACGAAATGTTTTGAAGATATTGTTATACATAGTGCATAAAAAAAGTCGAGAGAACAAAACTCTCTTGTATATTCGTTTTTCTAGATTCCTTATACATATATATGGGTGTCTCATAGTACGCAAAGCAATATATTTATCAAAAAATAAACATCTTTTTCTATTTGAGGTTTTCCTCAAATTTCTAAAAATTTGTTTTCTAAATATCTGTTTTAATATGTTTGTATAAATGTATTTGTGTTATTGCTTATTTAAATTCATGATTTTTTATGTAAAAGTTTTGATAATTCTGTTACAAATATAAAATTCGTAATTATGCAGTATAACGAATTTCTCAATCTAACCCAAGGTAGCTCTTGTTTTGCGTAGAAAGTCGAAATCCACGTGCAACAGTACAGGCATGTAACTTTCCATGCGAACACATTTCCATGATTGTACTGTTGCACATGAGTTTTGACTTTTTACGCGAAGCGAGAGCTACCTCAGTCCCTTTGCAGGAGGAGAGGGGGAGATGAGGTCGCTTCGCGTGGAAAGTTGAACGTTTGTAAGCAGGAATAGGTCCGTATTCAGAACGCGCTTTTATCTCTGAAATTCTATAGTAACGTAAACTATAGCATGTTAGAGCGCTAACATCGTTGTAAACGCGTTCTGAATACGGGCCATAGAATAGTTATACTTAATATCATATATATATATATATATATAAAGTTATTAGCAAAAAGTTTCAAAAAGAACGTACTATTCCTACTACATATATATTAGTAGGAATAGTACGTTCTTTTTGAAACTTTTTACTAATAACTTTTTAACGAAGGTTGATAGCCAAGTAAAACCTGCAGAAAGTTACTCAGGATCCTCAGGATCATGACAATATATATCAAGGTCAAGGTCATCGGAGGGTGGTTCGTTATACTGCATAAGTAACTTTAACATTTACTTAACTAACATATAAAATAACTTTATATGTTTAAATGTTGTTTACACTGATGATGAACCGATAAGGGTAGAAACGTTTGTAATTTTTGTATTTTACATTTTGTTATATTAAGTAGCATCTCACATCCTAGCTTAGACTCGTAGCCCGTATTTAATTTCTATTGTTTTTATTTATTGAGTCTCATTATTATTAATAATTTTAAATTAACTAAAACTTATTAAGATACTTATTTTTTGATAAAGAATGTATCAGTTTAAATACTGTCATTTCTATGTGTGGAACACCCTATACAGAGAAAAATATTTGGTTGAATTAACTAAAATTCTGGTAAAAAATAAACGATTCAGAAAGTTACTTCAATCAGAATTCTGGTAGATTTGAAATTTTTTATTTCAACGGAGTTGTAATAGATTTGAAATTGGTTAATTCAATCAAATATTTTCTCTTTGTGTTAAACTTACACATATGTGTGTGTGTGTGTATGTGTCTGTGTGTGTATATATATATAATGTATGTACAGGATGTTTGAGAAGTAATGAAAAATTTTGTCACATAGGGGTAGAATGGACTAAACCGAGAAGAAAAGTCCTCTACCATTTTACAATTTTCGCGATAGTTAACGAGATATTAATTTATAAAAATATCCAAATTCGCCCAGTCCACCGCCAAATGCAAGCGCGCGGCTGAATACGACCGCCCAGCGAGGCTAATATCCATTTATAATAATATTATATGGATATTGTTTAACGACGATCATTACCGCTTGTTATAAACAACGCGTATCTAGCAGCGGCGAACGCGCGCGGCGCGCCTCACTGGGCGGTCATATCCATGGTATAAAGACAAAGGTCTAATTATATAAAGACAAAGGTATGCTCGTTTCGTGTCAGACCACTGCGCATTCTCATCACTTTGCCACATTTTGTTCAAGCTTACATCATGCTCGTGTAGAGTCGGGGTGAATCGGATATGATTGGTAGTGTATTCAGCTGCGATTATAGCTCCAATGAGGCAGTAAACACAGCTTTTCTTCGGTCGTACGAGAAAGCAACAAATGTTGATTTTCGATCATCAATTTTTCAATTTTTTTCAAAAAATTGTCATAAAAACTGTGAAAAGTAATTTGATTTAAAAAATTTGAAAAAATCATGATACTTCTATTTTGATGGGTACTATAATATATCAAAATTTCAACCAAATCAAAAATCCAAAAGTTCACGAGTAGCTTACTTGGGATGGAATGCCCTATATGTATGTATATATTCCAGATAACATTTATATTGTATAAGACATCCAAAAGGCTTCTTTTAGACCTTATGTTTAAAAAATGTCTTTAGATTTCTTATGCAACATGCATGTATACTTGCATGTGTATTTACATTACATTGCATACTTCCAATATATTTACGATTTAATTGCGTGCACTTACAATACATTTATTATTACACAGGATTTGTTCCATTTAACGTTCGCAACGCTCACAAGCATCATTTCATCCTTGTTAAAATGATAAGGGATGCTTTCCAGCAAGGACACAATCAGACACTGCGTAACACAGATAATCGTTTCATCCTTGTTTGACGTAGACAAACAACAAGGATGTAATGATTCACTGTGTTACACTGTGTCTGACTGTGCCCTTACTGGAAAGCACCCAAGGATGAAATGATACTCGCGAGCGTTGCAAACAAGTAAAACTTGTTTAAACAGTAGTCACTGTTTAAATTTACCGTTCAGTGTGACGTAAGCTTGAACAAAGTCCCGATTGGCCTTTTCTGAAATATATGCACAAGAGCATATCCTTGTATTTATACTGTGGTCATATCTAACCGCGCGCTTGCATTTGGCGGTGGGCCGGGCGAATTTGGACACTTTTATAAATTAAAATCTCGTTAATTATTGTGAAAATTGTAAAATGGCAGAGGACTTTCCTTCTCAGTTTAGTCCATTCTACCCCTATGCGACAAAACTTTTCATTATTTCTCAAACATGCTGTATATATACATTAAACAAATTATATATATAATACAATGAATTTCTTGCATCGCGTCATCATATCAATAAAATTTTCATCAAATTTTCATTAAATTTTCGTCTCTTTGCAATCGTTTAACGACCTCGTCATATTTTTCTATCAGTCAGTTTCAGCCTGATAGATTCTGATGGTACAGATACCATACGCAAAATCATCTTAATCTTGTCTCTATTTTCGCACTCAATCTTGAAGTTTTTAATGAGCTACAAGGAAATAATATACGGCTGTAGTCATGATTTGCATCTAATTGCACGATTGATAACTCACCTGCGCCAACGTAAGAGATAACTGCGTTTCCGCGAGTCTCTGACCAATGCAGTTCCTCACGCCTACCGCAAATGGTACATTAGCACGTGTATCCTTTACTCCCTGGTATTTGAATGAATCTTCCCCCGTTCTGAGCCATCTTTCTGGCCAGAATTCATTAGGTCGTACATAATTATTCTCATCGCGGCCGCTTGAGTAAAGCGACAAGAGAATTAGATTCTAAAAAAAAGGAGAATCATCTCTTTTAATTAGTTATATTATCTAGTAACTCGTTCGATAGAGCGAATAATCTGCAAATGGCAATTTGCATTACAAATGCTTTCCGTTAACTCTACGCGATTATTATTTTTACCCCTTTCGGCACAAAGTAACCGCCAATTACGGAGTCCACTGGCAAAATTCTCGTAATGAATGGCGCAACAGGGTACAGTCTCAAGGTTTCCTTCCATACATGTCTCAATAATTGATGTTGCAGAAGATTTTCTAGTGACAAATCTTTGATTTCATCGAACAATCGATCTTGTAGCTCAGGTTGATTACTAAGTAATAGCAATACCCATTGCATGGTAATCGATGTCTGAATAAATAATCGTAGAATTACAATTTTGCTGTGCAAACATAATAGATATCTCACCGCTTTAATTATTAATATAAGGATAAAAAATATCAATTTCAATTGATTCAAATATAAAATTAACTTTTTCTCAAGCAGAATAACTTTTGACAAAGAAAGTTTTACAACACAAATATCAAATCATCGAATTCAAATAATTATATCCTTATACTAAGTTTTAAACTTATTTCTTTACGTCTTGTACTATATGTATTATATCTCGTAACTAGATACAAATAAAAAGAAATGATAATCCAATTTCAAATAAATTAAAAATATTTGAGAAGACAAAAAGATAAATTTTTTCATAGAAATTATCTTATATCAGGAAGGATTTATTTTAAAATTAGAAAACGTTTGATGCTTGTCTTTGTAAAATTTTGATAAATTTCAAAACATTTTATATATGTGTATAAATAAATGAAAAACGTACTGTGTCACCAGCAGCTATGACGAAATCGCAAATGATTCTGACTGCTTTATCTCCGCGAATATCATTATTTAAGATCATCTGCAGAATTCCGTCGTTGTCCGACAACTGAATCATTTCAGGCACCAGTTTGCGCACTTTTTCTAGCACGCTGTCAGCAGCTTTAACAAATTTGTTCCACACTGGCAACCTAAGCTTCATCGCTAACTTGGCTGGTAGCATTGAGAGACTTGAAGTATACGTGAAAATCTGGTGTAGTATCATAGCTATATCTTCTATGTCATAACGTAACCGCGGTTCGCAAACATGCCATTGCGAACCTATCATAGCCGCTAACATCACTATAAAAGGATATTGATCAACATCGCGCGTTGTTATCGCGAAAAATTATTAAAAACAATTTTACGTAGTCGACGAATACGAGTATAATGCATTAAATGATATAACGTTATTTAATAAAGTATATAATGTTAAATACTGCTATATAAAAAACTGTTTTTAATGGCTCTCGAAATTTACCCTCGATAGACCACTGATACAGCTCATGTTCCAGATTCGGTATTGTACGATCAGTTTGGCTATACGTTTTCCATTCCTTCGTAAGATTATCGGCTGCTTTCTGACAAGGTCCATAAAAAACCTTTGATCCAGATTTCAGCATTATTCGATTGAGGATTTTACGGTAATACCACCACTCTTCTCCCTCCCTATTCCAACAGCGCAATGTTTTTTTTTTTTCATTATTAAATGTATATTACAACAAAATGAATTATTTCGCTGAGAACAGAATTCAGACGAACGAAAAATGATTATTACAAAGTTACTAAATAAAATTAAAATTTCCATACAAAAGCATCTTATAAAACAAACGTTCCGGTTATTTCATGGATATACAATCTCATTGCTGATATCTATAGTTCTATCGGAATTTATAACAATTCTTTTCTTTAACATACCGGTGGGAGAACATCGTACGTACATGAAGAGCAGACCTCGGTTTTGCGCTCGCATTTCATTATACAACACCCAGGGTTCCGGCAAGAAGTGCTGCGGCGTGTTACCCGCAAGATCGGATAATATCTTACGATATTCAGCAGGCGAATTAACGAAAACACCCTGGACTGGTCCAATCTGTTCTCTAAACACTGGTCCAAGTTCTCGGTGTCTATTGTCCACGTATTCATGCAGTTTTTGTGGACCACCGGACCTCATCAGGGATAACGTTGTACCAATCAAGGGAAGACCTCGTGGCTCGGGTGGTTCCTTTCTTGTCGAAATTCCGAAATATTGCGCAAACGTTCGCGATAATACGGAGCTCTTTACCAAGCCTTGACTAGCGTTCCATGAAGGAGTAGCATCGTTATTATTTAATAATAAAAATCGCTGATCGGATCCAAGGATCGTTCCGCGCTTGATAAACGAAGCGTTAAAATCATTGCGGAAGTTCGTCGACCTTGCGAATCTTCGTAATGTTCTTGGTGTAGTGTTCATCTCTTCAGCGACACCAGGTATATAAGACCGAGATACAAATGTGCAGCTTCGCTGTCAACGAGAAATCAGATCGTGATCGTATCGAATCTAATATGCGATTCAGCGCTTCGCGATTCAGCAATTTTTTCTTCAAGTCAACGGAATTATTACAAGACAAATAATGTATGCAAACGAAGATAAGCAAGTTTTATAAAAAGAGAAAAGTAAACAAAAACATCAGTTTAACGCGACATGTAATCCTAATGTTTTGAAATACATGTAAATACAATATTGCTCGTTTAAATGTAATATAAGTTAAGTTCTTTGTTTTTCGAATGCTAAACAAGGCCTTATATCTGGAGTATGTATCACATAATATCCGGATATCCCACCGATATTTCTTCCCCTTTCAAACCATCTTAACATAACTCATTGGAAGGCGTGGTATAATCGAGAGATAAAAAGTGCAGTTAAGAAAACAGAATGATATAAGTAAAATAATATTATGTACGCGTGCACGGTCAAGTTTATAATTTTAAAATTAAGAAATATGATCAATATTACATGTTAATGAAATATTTATGATCAATATTACATGTAAATGAAATATTCTTCATTTACAAAATAGTTTTTATTTGATACCCAATATATGTATATAATGTGCTATAGAATATTCAATTTGTTAAAACAGATGCAAACATTAATTCATTATATTTTTTATTTAATTCGAGTATAGAAAAAACATTTGCTGTTAACAAAATTAAAATATAAATAAATAAAATGCGTATTTTCATATTAGAATTATTTTTTTTAAATAAATATTATGATAATGACGTCAAAGTTTAAATTTAGACAGTGCTAATAATATGTATCTTCTTTTTTTTAGTTTATAATCTTGAATTTTGTTTATACGCTCTCAATTAAAATTATATAATCTATAAAACTATTTGTGTTATTTTTAATATAACAAATATAAACGGCTCTGCAAAAAGAGATAGAGATGAACTCTCTCGCTCGAGCGAACGATTGCGTCGACGGATCTCAAAGTGCATGATAATGATAATGCATTATTCTTTAGTTTATTGTTTTTCAAACATACGTACAATTTTAGTTCATGTAATTTCAATTCGGTAATTTTTATTTTAAACAATTAAGTTTTGCTTTGTTTTTTAATTATACCGTAACTTCATTTAATTTGCAATCCATCTTTCCACAATCGCGATACGTTTGATTCACGTTGATTTAACTAAATTTAATTAAATAAATCTTACAGCAGCAAGCTAAATTTAGTTTGTCCGCGATAAAAAAAAATAAAGCGGTTCGAACCGGTTAGCAGTCCAAAAAGTTCGTTAAGGAAATAATACATAATAATAAATGTATACACACCGATATTTGATTTTAAATAGTTCCTCTTCTTATGTCGTTATATTATATTGTAATTGTCGAGCAACTGCACTTCATTCCAGGATTTTGTATTTGAAAACTGAGACTCGCGTAACTTCTTCGTGCTCTCCTCCTTCGTTATACCTCAGTGTCTGAAAGCTCGAGCTCCGTATGAACTCGCGTACGTGCCGATCTAACAAACTTATGCTTGATTCTCAGGGGTCAAACTGTCGAACTTGCTTGGTGAGCATCTCGATCCTCACTATCGCGCATGCGGCCTCCTGGTTGCCGGTCGCTGACAAACCGGCCGGAAGCAGTGCCGACCGGAAGCGGAGCGTAGTCGAGCAGTTCGAAATGACCTTCTGCCTTCCATGCGACTGAATTCGCAACAGGCTTGCAGCAGGAGATCGGGTACCGTTATCTGGAACTGCTCCGCCATTCTATCTTCTCGTCTTGAATTAGAGACGCGGTCAAATCCGCTTCCCGGGTTTCTATATAAAGCAATTAATTATCATTAATACACTAAGCATGCGTTTTTTTTTAAAGAGAAATTATTTCGCCGCGGTCAGCGTCAGCTGGAGTCGCGCGTTTAAATTTTCTTACACATACACTTTTTAAAGAATAAAAGCGACCAGATCAAGTACCGATCATTAACTTTTTTTTCTTAGAATGAAGATGTGAAAATTTTTTGTTTACTTATTACAATTTTTACTTTCCACATTTTCGAAAAATCTATTCCGAATTCTATAATACGTCCAGATACATTTAAAGCGTCTCATTTTTCCCCACGCAGAAAAAAGAAAAAAAAAACAGAATTCTTCTCAACACGAGAAACTTTAAATCGCTCTGCAGACTATAAAATACTACCTATAAGTAAGACGCAGATATCTGAATGTCAAAATAGCTGAGACGGTTCGTCGAGAGCATAGAGAGACACGTTGATTACATCCCGAGATATGCTAAGTTTATTCAAAATGAATCGGCTGAAGGTTTATGTCGTGCCTAATATACATTCCTGGGCCTGAAGATCCTTCGAGATTCGGATGCATATGATATATACTTGATAAACAAGATCCGCTCTCCTTCTTTTTCTCCGCTTCATCCTCTTCTATTTCGTTTCTAAAAAACAAATGGGAATGAGAGGATCATGACACATTTATAGCCTGATAACCATCCAGTAATTATTATTTCAAGCAACTTAAATTCCTCTTTTGTAAAAAGATTTGAGATAAAAGTTTCTTTACCTTGCGCTTAAATACATTATGGAATTCTTAATTCCATTCATTTCTTCCATTTTCTTATAATTGTTTTTTCCTTAATTTTATCTCTTTTGACACTTTAGGTGACTAATTATGACTGTTATATTATCGATTAATGCACTGGACTTTAATCCGGTTTTTTTTATCTTGATTTAACTAATTCTTCATATTTTTTTAGTTATAAGGCCCAGTTTTATCAATGTAATAAACTTTAATCTCCCTTTAACCTATACTGCGGTTACTTCTTTCTAATTCTAAGAATTAGAATTAGAAAAAAATAAACTAAGTTGAATTGAGACTAAAATTAATCTTACATTAATAAAGGAACCGAGTCTTAGAAAAAAGAAATCTTATTAGGATATAAATAATTCCTATTCTAGATTTAATTTTCATCACGTTTACGTTATAAAGTGATCATTATTCTTGTGATAAATATACAGTATAATGTGTTCAATAATTTTCTTTTTGAATTGGCATTAAAAAAACAGAGGACTTGAGAAACAATTTTTCTTCTCGAAATATTAGGTCTGTTTTATATTGCTATACTTTCTGAATTGGTGCACATGGTGCAGTAAGTTGAAGTGAAACAAACGTATATTTGTTTCACTTCAATTTATTGTATCGTTCGGAGAGTGCAGCAATAAAAAACAGACCTATATTTTACGTATAAAAATATACAATTAATTATAAAATAACAGATAAAATAACAGAGGTGAGAGCGTTGCATATTTACTATTCTTACATATACTTTAATGATATCTGTAGAAAAAATAATTTATTAAGTGTAAATTAAAAAAAATAAAAGATAACAATTACTAATTAATTTATCCTAGTTAATTAATTTACTAATTATTTTATGCTCCTCTACCCAGTGAGAAATGATAATGAAATCGATATCGAATTGATGTCGATTCAAAGTCGAAATCATTAATTCGACGTTGAATTGACATCGATTTGATTCCATTGTCATTTCTCCAGGGAATGGAAAGTTACTTTTTAAAAGTAACTAGTTACAGTTACTCGTTACCGAGTAAAAAATGTAACTAGTTACAGTTACAGTTATCGCTTTTTAAAAGTAACTCGTTACAGTTACCGTTACTTGAAAAATAACTTTTCGTTACTTTTCCGTTACTTTTTTAAAATCAATTTAAAAATGTACTTTTGCATTTTTTTTTATATGTAATACTGACAAATATATATATAGTTTTATTAAAAAAAAAAAAACAATGTAGAATGGCTCAAATAATAAATTAAATAAAAGTAAAATGAGAAGGGTTACGAGCCAAAAATGAAACAGTTTATTTCCGATAAGAACGACGATGACAATGTAATTAAATGTATAAATATATATTAGAACAACAACATGGATAAAACAAGATAAAAACAAACGACGTTTCCACACTTATTGTCATCGTCTTTTAAACTGTTTCGCTTTTGGGTTCGTAGCCCTTCTCATTTTACTATTATTTAATTTATTTTTTAATTTTTTTTAAACACAATTTTGTAATTCTAAAACCTGTAAAATATGCAGCAAACTGAAATATTTGTATGTCCTATGTATTACATAGAAGATAGAAGTGTAAAATAATTACTGAATCATACGGCCGAATATCTAAGGGCTTTCAAGTCTTATTGATAAGCGCTGTAAATAGCATGTATCCAATCGAACCGTGTTCAATCGTGTGCAAAGTAACGACAAAAGTAACTGTAAATTTCGTTACCGTTACCCAAAAAATGTAACTCGTTACCGTTACAGTTACCAAAAAAAGAAAGTAACGCAGTTACCAGTAAAGTTACCAAAAAAGTAACTTGTAACTGTAACTTCGTTACAAGTAACGAGTTACTTCCATTCCCTGCATTTCTCACTATAGGTAGTATCTCAAAGAAAAGAAGTTCGCAGGACACGAATGACCCAATAGTGTATATTAACTGTTAAAATCCAATAAATGCGAAATGGAACGAAAATAGAGAAGAAAAGAATTGTGCAAAATAAAAAAAGGAGACGCGCCATCGATGCGACCAACCTGTTTGACTCGCGTTAATACCGATATCACTTTAACGAACGCCATTTTATGCATATTAATGTCCGATATTACAGTTGCGTATTATCAAAGATAAAAGTAATAATATTTCACGCTTGATCGATCCTAAGAGCCGCTTTCTTCCACGTTTTTCTCCAAGAACCGTTCCCCAGCGGGAGGAAAGTACGATTCAAAGCCAAGTTTACTTCGCCGAGTATCGATATCTTCGTCTCGATATCGGAGTATCGATATCGCCCGCGACAGGCGCGGACCGCGCGACCTCTTTCCCACCTTTTTGTTCGTTGTACCCGTTTTGAAGACTCGGTAATTGTCGGCAATACAAATAATCCTCGTGCGCGATTAGCGGCGCGCGACACTTTTCGACGCGCCGCTCTTCGCACCGAATAGCGTCCATAGCCATCCATAGCATCGTGTGTGGCGTTATCGCGTCGTTATCAGCAACGAGGCATCTCTCAATCTATCCGTCGGATATCGGCTATCTTCGTCTTCTCTGGCCTTCTCACTCCAAGTTGTTTCGCGGCGACTTCGGCTGGCATTCCGCCACTTGTAGCAATTCGTGGGCCGACGTAGGCATTCGTAGGAATCGTAGGAATCATAGGTAATCGAGGAACGACGACGTCGCCGTACTTAACCCGAGGAGCTGCACTGTGTTGCACCTGCAGCACCTTCCTTTTTTTTTCTTTGATGCGCTTGTTCACTGTTGTTCACCGCGTATCCTAGGACTCCTGGGGTGCAAAAAGTGCGAGCGAATCGCGAAACTATTAAAAAAAAGAGATTCCCCTCCCAAGAAGCTTCTCGGACTGCATCGTTACTGAGCTGCCGTTTAGCGAAACTTACGAACTAAATACTGAATAAGAGAGATCGGACAAATCCAACTGTGATCTCTCCCTGAGATCTTCCTCTTGGAAACTCACACAGGAGTCTTTTAAGAAGGAAGATTTTTGGATCCTGCGATCCCGACGAACGTCATCAGTATTCTAAGACCGTATCTCTTTTCCTCCTCGACACGATGGATATCGACGCCGACACCTGTCTCAAGGAATGGAATGACTTGGCGCAGGACTACAAGGAACTCGAGGTGAGAATTCCTCGCCGTCTTAGGACGGAGCCGAAAAGGTTATGCCCCATCTCATCTGCATAATCGCATTGTTATCCTTGAATCATGCCGACTCTACAACAGAAGGGAGACGAAAAAAATCGCGGTTTTGTTGATTTTCGACGTCATGTGATGTCGCATGACCTTGATGATAAATCGATTACGCGCGAGCGACTTGTACTTATTACTTTTCGTTTAGCGTTAATTTGCTCTGATCGATTACCAATCCTGCATTTTAATAACCGCGAATGATGCTGCAGAATTTTAACAGTAATTGTGATTATTACTGCGCACACTCGCGATTTTCTGGATTATTTTGATAACTTGTGCAATGTTAGTACAGAGTTTTAGTATATGTTTAAAAGAAAAAAAATAAGTATGAAATTTTATATACTTGTATAAGGTAAAATGTGTCTAACTTGCATGAATATAAAAATACAAAAAATATATAATGTAATATGAAAAATAACAAGAATGAACAAAATCGTTATCAATTAGTCACAAATTAATCACAAATCAAATCATGTTTATGACCTTTAATCATTATTTTTTAACTGATCATCAAGATATATTAGAAAATATTAGGTACTTTTCATTTGGTAATACAAGTTAACACGTATCATTATTTTTTTTTTATATTTAGTGAAATAACAAAGATAGAATGACACGCTTTAACAAAAGATAGAAAGCATCTATTGATTGTTGTTGTGTTTTAAAGATATCTTATTTTTTTTACAGGTACTAAATAGAGAGTATCTTTTGAAATTAGAAGAAATTAGTGAACTGCAAGCAAAATGTGTCAAAGGTATCTCCCATCAGAAATACCGGATGGGTGTAATATCCAAGTCCTTAAAAAAGTAAGTCTAGCTTGTACATTTTTTTTTCAGAAGAATAATTCATAACTTTTAATTATATTAATTAATTAATGTTTGTATTTTTTAAATACGTGAATATATTTATAGCATTGGAAATATCTGCAATTGTTATTTAAATTAAGGTATCATATGCAGTATGACAATTTATATGATTTTTATATTTCTAGACTAAACACAAAAGAAACACAGGAAGAATTACAAAAATCCATGACAAGGAGAGAACAGCAGCTCAATGAGATTGAGCAAACATTACCTAAGTCAAACGGCATTTACTTACAAATTATTCTAGGCAGTGTCAATGTCTCCATATTAAATAAAAGTGACAAGTATGTTACCGCTAAGAATCATATTTGACATATCTTTTTTGGAGTGATTTCATAATAATTGTTTTTAGATTCAAGTATAAAGACGAATATGAGAAATTCAAATTAGTGCTATCGGTAATTGGATTTGTATTATCTGTATTAAACCTATTTACCAATATAAGGTAAGATATTATTATATATAATCAGCGTTGTATTTTCTATTTTAAGTTATATATTGTAATAAAATATTACATTTTTATTATTAATTTATATTACTAAATAAATATCTATATAATGTTTCAGGACCTTAGAACTTAGTTTTATGTTTCTCCTCGTTTGGTACTATTGCACATTAACGATAAGAGAAAGTATACTCAAGGTAAATGGATCAAGAATTAAAGGATGGTGGAGATTCCATCATTTTCTCTCGACAGTGATATCCGGTGTTCTACTAGTCTGGCCGAATACTGGACCATGGTACCAGTTTCGTAGTCAGTTCATGTGGTTCAACGTGTATATCAGTAAGTACTGCATAATTTCTGGCATATGTCACAAAAATCTAATAGTTAAATCGTTCATATCTAGAATTGAAATATAACTTACAACATTATATTTCTTTCCGAACTATGTATAACAACTAAACTTTCAACTAACATTTTTCAGGTGTAGTCCAGTATTTGCAATTTCGGTACCAACGTGGCGTTTTGTACCGGTTAAAAGCACTGGGTGAGAGGGACAACATGGACATTACTATTGAAGGATTCCATTCATGGATGTGGCGCGGTCTCTCATTTCTGCTGCCGTTCCTATTCGCTGGTTATTTGTTTCAACTTTATAACGCGTATACGTTATACGAACTAGCGTATCATCCAGAAGCAACATGGCACGTACCAGTGCTCAGCGCCATGTTCCTCGTACTATTTCTGGGTAATACTACCACCACCATCATGGTAATCCCGCAGAAACTCGTCAAGGATCGCGTTAAGGATCAACTGTTCGCTTTTAAACCCGATCGCAGGAAAGAAGGAAGGACACGCGATAAGGACAATAAAGATAAAAAGAGTGAGTGAAGGAAGAATTTTGAGTACTTCCAGCTGATGAAAAGTTCGACCTAATTACATGGAAAATAAATTGAAGAAAAAATTGTAAAGACAAGATAAAATGCGCTATAAAATGATGTTGGTGTTGGCTCTAAAATATAACAAACTATACTTTATTGCATTTAGCAATGGAAGTAATAACACGTATACACATACACACATACACGATGTGAATGACTTCGATCACAACTAAAGGAGTTTCCGCGTATTTTTATTTACTTTACTATTGGGTAAAGTCTATTGTCGAGTGTTCTCAAGAACGTTCTTTATACTCTTTGACCGTCCTAAAATAAACTTGCCTAATTCCAACAATAGGCTACTCAACGAATTTGACGAGTTAGTTTTTTTATATGAGAAAATGTATTAAAAAATATCATCTGTTTTTGAAAATATAGATTAAAAACCTCCATAGGCAGGAATTACGCACATTTATTTGAAATTGAATAGTTAATATATTAATATATTCATTATTATATATATATATATATATATGTTAATATATGACAAATTAAAATTAATTGAATAAATTAATTATAATTAATTAAAATTAACCTAATTTTTTTATTTATTTTATTCTCTTGTAAAAATATCTTTATCGTTTAAAATTTCTAATTAACCATTATTTGATATCAGGACAGTTTTGATGGATGAAAAGTTTAATTTCAGATTCATCACAATTTGTTCTGTTCCATTTCGAAACATCCTGCATATGGTACTCACTGGGTTCGAACATATGCATTTATTTTTGATTGAATTACTCAATATTATATATCTATCACTGGGTTCTATCATGACACGCAATATGATGCGCAAATATTGACTCAAATACAAACCGCGTTCGATAAGAATCTGTATTTACGGATAATTTATGTGTATATATATATATATATATATGTACACAAATACACACGACAAATGCATATGTACAGGCTGTTTTCTTGAAGTATTAGCGAAATTAAGAAAAATTATGCTCATCATATTTGACGAAATACTCTATGTATACACACACACATCTAAATTATGTAGTCATTCTACATGCAACATACATGAATATACATATAAATACATGTGATATCACGTTTATTTCGTATCAAATATCACGCAAAGTGCACCGAAGACGAATCGTGTATAATATAATTATGGCATATTTTGCTCCAAATGTATTTATTAAAATGTATTTACTCATGTGTAAATAAAAGTATACCGAGCTGCCTAATCCTACAACGAAAATTTGCAGTTAAAAGTTACATCGAGTTACTAATCCGAATTTTCTTTAACAAGTTCTCTTTCTTTTAACACTTCTATTTAGTTTATGTCACATGTGAGCATGAAAATGCATGTCTTGTTAAATATCGCGAATGATATTTTATTATAGATAACATAACAAATTAACGTAAAACGTACACATTGTATATATGTATATGTTGCATTTTATTATAGTTAAAAAGGTATATTTTTTAAAACAAGAATTAAGTGAAAGTGATCCATTTACACCAAGTGAGTCGATTTAATTGAAAAATTCTTATTTTTCTACTTCCTTTTTCTTTAGTATAATTTTAGATATAATCTTGCTTTCATCTAAAAAAAATTCTAAAGATGCTATTTTTCTATGAAAGTAATAAAAATACTTGATGGGTGAATCTCAATAAACCGTACATCAACTTTTAGATCCACCAAGTTCAAAGTGCAGATACTTGCTGGAGTAAAATTCAAACACATGGTAAAAGAAGATTAACGTATCGTGCAGATAGATATGAATCAATGAAAAGAACCGGCTAGAGTTGGCGACTATAGCTACGCCACTGTTTGAAAAAGCAATAGTTTAGTCATCGCAATCTACGACGCTTAGGTAAGCATAACCAGTTCACTTATCGGCGTTCTTCACGAGCGTGCACGTCGTATAGACTTTGCACATCCTATTATATTCTACTGTCTATACATTGAGGTGAACAGGTGCACATTGAGGAACCAAGATGCCGGTAAAGATCAATTGGCCCATGTTGACGGCAACGGTCTGCCCTAATATTGGTGGCTGGGTCGATAGCTACTTCGTTAAAAAAAATATCAGCTGGTACGAGGTGAGATGACATCATATGCAAATGCGTCGACGAAATTATGTTATTGTCGCGATATACTGCACGATACAAGAAATTAAAGAAAGCGCTATTTATTTAGAAGAATATTTTGTCGCTATGCACTTCTTCTGCAAAATCTAAATATAAATTCACGGAATTAAACGTTTGTAGGTGAAGGTCATTTGATATATGCACGAATCGATACGAGAGTAACTGGCGAAATGTAAATGTAGTATTACTTGGATCATTCGATCCACTTTGCTTCAATATGAAAAATATTTCGGCATATTTCGGACATATCTTGATCTACCTTCATTAAATCTTTATAACAGGAATTATGCAGGACTACTATTTATAATTACTTGCAATTATATTTCTTTATAATATATTGATATTTATAACAGTTTACAATTATAATTTTATTATACCTATATAATAAATATATATCATACATTATTTATATTTAGAAATATTTTAACTGCACGTTTTTATCTAAAAACTCTCGTAACTGTATTTATAGTCATGATTATGATAGCTTAGAGTTGTGTAATATTTATTTTTATAATTATAATTGTTCGTACATACACGATACATGCAAATTCCAACAAACAGATTTAAATAAGATACTTGTCTGTCACTGTGTTCATAATCAATAATAGTTATAGCAAATAATTTCGCGAATATCTATAGTCAATTCAATTACTTTCTTTAAGAATTTTTATAAAAATCTCTCTCGCGTTTAGAAAAGTAATAATTTAATATACCCTTTTTTATGGATGATGTGTGTTTCTATTATTTCATATCTTCTCTGTTTATATAATCTTCATATGTACAGTCTTTCAAAAAAAAGAACTACAAAACTTTGCAGGTTTACATCCATCTATAAAGAAAAAAATTTTATATAATAAATATACAGAATTTATGTATATAAGATTTGTCTTATCGACAATTTAAATACCAAGCTCATTTAATAGATTGCTCGATATAATAATTGAAGACCAAATGATTATGAATATCGATTGTTTGAATAATGAGCATTTAAAGAAATTTATGAATGGTCGCATTCAGAAGAAATCAGTGTTTAGGGGACACGCACACTTTCTGTAACCACACAGTAACCATAAAACCAATCACAGTCAAGAATTGTCAAAAACTTTCAGCTTTGATTGATCAATTTTCTTATGGTACATGTTACAGAAAGTGTATGCGGGCCTTTTTAGTGCTTTACGCTGATTATATTTTTAAATCTGGAAGAATATCCTATCTTAACGCAGAAAAAGTTCCAACAATTGCAAAATAAATATTCTGCTGAACACGATCATTCACTACAAAAAACTCAGTAATTATGTATAACTTGGTATAACTATAAATCTGTAATTATGCTTATGTAACTAGTGATTGAGGACACAGTCTATGATTTCGTGAGTATCGTTTTATAGGATATGTAAGAAGAAGATAGGTTTTTGCAAATATTCAAGAGAAAAACAGAAATCTTCTCTGGAATATTTATATTGCTAAGTAAGTGCCGATACGTTATTTCGGGATACTTTTATTTCGCTTACACAAAATCTCTTTTCGTGTGAGAGAGAAATAGGAGACTTAACTTAAAGAACGGCCAAGCAGCACTTCTATCTACCGCGGAAATGCTTAAGTGTGTTTACAATAAATTACACCTTACCGCTAGTGATATAATAACACGTAATATATCGCTTTTGTACGTATAGATGTGTCCGCCGCGCTTAATCCGTCATTCTTTTGTTCCAGTCGCTGAAAAAGCCGAAATATATCCCGCCGAATTGGGTATTCGGACCCGTGTGGACCACCATCTACTGTACACTGGGTTACTCGTCGTACCTTGTATGGCGAGACGGGGGTGGTTTCGAGGGAGCGGCCGTACCGCTCAGTGTCTACGGTCTTAATCTTGCTCTCAACTGGTCATGGACGCCGCTATTCTTCGAGACTCGTAACATAAAATTGGTATTACATCTGATTACATACACATACACACACACGCATACATACGTTAATCGTAAATCTCTGAGATCGTTCGAGTGTTTTTTTACAATTTTATCATAATTATACCATTTAATCAATTTTATTGCTACATTATTTATATTGGAAGATATCTACATAGATTCAAGATAAATTTTTTTGAGATTCACATCGCTTAAAATTAATCCTAATTAAATAAATAAGCGAAGAAAACCATAGGAGACAGTACTCGGTCAAAGCGAATGTTGATGCCTGATAATATTTTTGCGTAAATCTTACAATTTCCAAACAAACGGTGCGCTAATCATTTATCGGTTTTAAATCACAACAAATTTAAAAGTCCTTATTATTGAAAAATATATACAGGATGAGACAAATATATACATTTAAAACAGGTTACCTGAATAACTCGCTTGTTTTTAACAATAGAAGGAAAATTATCAAACAAAAAGTTGCTTGATTTCGAAGGGCACATAATGTGATGTCAATAATTGTTTTATAGGTGGAGGCGTAAAGGCAAAGATCAAATCTATTTTTTTACATAGAATGATGTGTATTTTTATTTACATTCTGATAGAGCATTTTAAGACGAATACAGTGACCTATAATTGAAGATCATTCAAGGTTACGCAAGCGGCAAGGTCAATAATGGAAAATAATTGAATGATCTTCAATTATAGGTCACTGTATTCGTCTTAAAATGCTCTATCAGAATGTAAATACAAAAACATATTATTCCATATAAAAAAATAGATTTGACCTTTGCCTATCCTTTACGCTTCCATCTACAAAACAACAATTACTCACCCTGTGTATAAAACTATGAAAATATTATAGTATACGTTGTACTATAGTATTTATCTAGTTTTACATATGTGATACTTTTTAAGAATAGGGGCCCTGTTATTTTTAGCTAAACTTGCAGAGTTCACTCTTTCTTTTTTCTTTTCACACTGGAGAGAAAAAGAAAGAATGAACTAAACTGAAACTGGAATATATACTGTCACAAATTAAATTAACAAGCAATTTAATAATATTGATGCTAATGATGATCTTAAAAAATTGTAAAGAATTTATTGCAAAAATATTATTCTAATCAGGACTCGAACCCTCCTTCTTTCTGTGAGGAGTATCTTACTAATTCTAATTCGTGAATAAATATGTGACTAGTGAAAACAGAGAAACTAAAAACTAATTTCTTTTTTCAGATAATTACGAAGAAGACAGCTTATATTTTTTTCAAATCGACTTGAATCCATATTTTTAGAAGTAAAGATTATATATAATCAATAAAACTTTACAAGAATATCTTTGTATAATATATAATCTACATTTTTAAAAATATGCAATAATTCCTAGTTAAATAAGACGATTTGGAAAAAAACAAGTTATCAATGATTTGCTCGAACGATCCCTGAATCTTAATGATTTCAGACCGAAACGAGTTTAGGGATTGCTTTGGATGCGATTAGATCCAACTTTTGCGAACTCATGTTTAACTGATTTGACGAAAAATAAATTTTATATTTATAATTATTTACTAGTACATTTTCAGTTTAATTTCCAAGATCAAAGTGGATCGAGAATGTGTATGTTCAGATTTTTTATACACGATCACAAAGAATAAACCTACAGTTTTATAAATCGCTTTTGAATTAATTGGGACATCATTAAGCGCTTTTGGAGCGATCATACAAAACTTCGTTTCGGTCGAAAATGTTATTAAGACTATCATTTTACATCCGTGCACAGGCTCTCTACGAAATTGCGGCGTTGTGGATCAGCACGGCGGCGGTTGGGGTCGTGTTCTACCACGTTAATCCCACTGCCGGCTATCTCATCATTCCCTACGTCATGTGGAACTCTCTCGCCGCTACATTTAATTATGTCATCTATCGGGATAACAAACAGCCTCCCGCTGTTGAGAAAGCCGAGGGAAAGAAGAACTAAGGAAATTTACGTAGCAAACGAATAGAGAAATGGGAAAATAGAGAGAGATACGGCAGTGCCGTGGACGTCTGCTTAGAAAGCCAGCTTTTGATGTTAAAAGAGCATTCCTCACGAGATTAATGCTAATGGTGGGCTTAACAAGTACTTTGAATAAGAGATTTGAATATAAAATCGAGTATTCACATATATGTCTGTTAAAAGAGACCTTTTATGAAAGCGATGAAAAGAGGATCACCGCAAAGTATTTCTATTAAAATCTATTGCTTTTGTTTTATATGTATTAGTATAACATCGAATATTATAATACTTTGTAGTAATGTTTTTTTCCCTTTTTTTCTATGTAAAGTTATTTAAGAAAAGATTATGTGCGAAAATACTCGTTATTCAAAGGCGTTGAAAAACTTGATATTCTTGCGTTAACATGAATAAGCCTAGCTTATCGATTGGCTGTTCTTTTTTGTCTTAAAAAAAATTGAGATAATTGAGTGCCCATCATTCACTTTCGTACATTCGTCATTATCGTTATGGACCACTTCAATCGTCGGGTTCGACGAGACGTGCCTTTGCATTGAACGCACAACGCCGATAGTATACACATGTTTATTGATCGATATACGAAATAAAGATCAGCTAACCGACCACGTGTACGTACATTATACAGTGTAATATCTTAAATGTACTATATATAAGCTTTAATAAATCATATAAAGTAACCTGGGAAAGGATGGATGGGAAACAGATGGTGTGGACAGGAGACTTTCATTTTCTTCACTGTCTACCCTATTCCGCGTGGAGCTACGAGAAGTCCTCTTTTGAATTAATTAGCCTTGGTAAAGTAATGTCAGCCGCAAATTTAGAGAACTCCCGCCTTCGTTTAAAGCTGTGATCCTGACATCAATTTCGCCTTTTGTACAGAATAGGGCAGAATATATTACAGAAGAGCGATATCGAGTACGATGATACGGGTGACTGCTCGAGCGGGATCTCTTCTAAGCGGCTATTGCCGCCGCATTCAGCTGCCATATTTCACAAGCGCTACGTGGGTTCGGTTGCGTAGATGTAGCCTTGTTGTTGTAGCACGTACAGCCGTTTCTCCACTGCCTCTTTATCTGAAATCAATGGTAAAATAATCTAATTTTATTTGTAATTATAAATGAGCGAAAAAAAGTAATAGATATCTTATACAATGTGTAAAACTGTAATTGATAAGTTAAATTGGCAAATAAATATTAAGTTAATGTACAAAGGTGTTTTTAACATTAAAATAAAATTTTAAATATATATAAGCTGAAAAAGAAGTTACATGAATTATTAGAAATAAGAGATGATATTTATATTCCTATCGAAGATAGATTTTTTCATAAAAAAAAACTAACAGATTTTTTTGCGATTCAACGAAGATTAATCAGAGCGAAGACAATACATACATTTGATAAGTAGAGCTCGGTCCTGACTATGGCTGACGTGTTGTGCTAACGAATGCAATAATATCTGCGCCGTATGATATCGTTGGAAACATTCACCGCCTTTTCCGAATAGCTCGTCCAATGCCGCGGATTGACACTGTAAAAGCGTAAATAATAGCATTAAATACTTCGAATATATCATATCAGTAGACATTGCAATCGTTTTTAATCGTCAAAAATATAACATCGATGTATATTCAGCCTCAGGATAAAGAAATCAGAGGGGCGATAAGCGTAATTAAAAGAAATATAGAATTATTTTTTATACCATGTGAATCGCATGATTATACAGTATCTTGTCCGCCGTAGCTCCTGTTTGACGAAGAAGCCCCACGCTATTTAGCTGCTTGCATTCCGTCAAACACGACTTGAACTTCTCGTTCATGGTACTAACAACTATATTTAAAAAAAAAAACAATTTAAATTAAATATAGTTTATAGACAACTCGTATATCAATTAAGTTTAATTAGACAAATTATATGTGTAAAGTGATGACTGTTGCAATGCATGTTTAAAGAATATTCTTAATGATAATATAAAATTTACCATCTTTCACAGTGGCTGTTGGTTGCAGCCTTCCTGCTTTGAGTTCCTGAGTAGCCAAATTCAAACCAGAGCTAAGCCACTGAAGAGCTCGTACCAGAAGGATGACCTGCTCGGCACGTTTTCTAGTAGCCGCATTGCCAGCCTGTTCGATGCTGCCGAGAGGCGCCGGTTGTTCGATGTTGCCGAGCGGGCCAGCTCTGGATCTGGCAACTTCGCATACGCATTCGCACAATGCCACGACAAAATTCAATTTGGCTAGAATCTCGTTGTGCTCACGCTCCATAAGTGTCTCCTCCGGTAGCTCCGGCGCAATAAACGTTAACGGACGATCTTCGATTGTCGTCGGAGGTATATCCGGAAACAGACTTTGGAAACTACCGGCTTCTATAAACGAGATTGATAATTAACAATCAATAAATTGATTTATTGAAAGAAAATATATAAATGAATTGTAGAGAAAAGACAGTTTTCTCTTTTCGTACTTATCTAATACGATTTTCGAACAAAATATATCAATTAAAGCGACATTATTAGATTATCAGATTATGGGTTAGTGATTCTACTATAAATACAATATTCTGCATAGCTCTGATGTTAAACTTTTGGTAATGGCCAAAAAATTACCAGATATTTCCGGAAGAGTGACAGCCCTTGTACCGAAGGGTATGACAGGTGAATGTCTAAGAGTATTGTTGTTGTCTTGAAAAGCTCGCGAAGTAGGAGAGCCAAGCACTGCTAGCGGACCTGTGAGCAACGGCGAAGATGCGCTGTTATTACCCGTGGAACGCCGTAATGGTGAAGTTCCGCTCGGCGTGTGTGAGTGTCTCGCTACAGGGCTAACTTGCCATGTATTGGGCGGTGGCGGAGTCTCGCTCAACCTAATTATTAATACATTAGCTTTAATCTTCTGGGTTCGTTTTATTATTTCCAAAACCTTTAATAACATTGGTTTTTATTAATAAAGTTATTTCTCTTTTTTTCTTCTAAAACCTAATTATTTTATTATAATTTAAGGAAAGTAACAATTCTATAATTTAAATTATCTAAGAAAAAGGAAAAAATCTTTGAATTTGAACTCGTTCGAGGACATACCTTCTGCCGGGCGGAGTGCCGATGACAAACTGCACACTAGGTGGACTTAGGGAGCCAATACTTGGTGGATGATTTCTGTGAGAGTCCACGCTACGTTTCATGCTGATTGGTTGTGAACGAGGCACAACACTGCTGCTGCCAGAACGGGCAGCATTTGTCGAGGGAGATTGTGGTGGTTGCTGAACCACTGCGTTTCGTTGACATGGAACGGGAATCGGTTCAGAAATCGGTAAATAACATGGTCTGGGTGGACTGATGGCTTCCCTGCTCGTCTGCCTAGTATACCTAATGGATAATCATAAAACTCATTAAAAATTTGATTCAAATTAATATATCCAAGAAGTATTAAAACATTACATACTCGCCCAATTTCGATAAACATGGCCGAGGTGGACTAACAGCTTCTCTACTCACTTGTTTGGTATACCTAAGAAATAATTAAATGAATGTAAGACAACTTCATTCTAATAAAATATTTTATTGTATATCTAAATAAAATAAAAATAAAGATATAAAAATATTTAAAAATTACGAAATCAATCTTATAAAGGATATTTTAAACTCGGTATTTTTCTCCCGATTGTTAAAAATTTTGTATAATTTTTACTAATTTTCTTTTATGTTCGTTTTTTTAGATCATCATCTAATATGTATATTTACTTGACTGGCGGATTATTGTCAGTATCGCTACTGATGTCGCTCGGCACAAGGACAAAATCATCTTCGGGACTAGAGCAAGGAGTCTCCGTCGTTTCGGGCTCCAGTCTATTGACAATCGGCGTTCCTTCCTCAATCGGAATTGCCATTGTCCCTGGTGACGCCGGCAATTCGGTAGGCACGGGGCTTGGATTTGGACTCTCTCGGACACCCGTGAGGAATGGGTGACCAAAGAAGTGATCAAAATCCATGCGGTCAGTCGCTTCACGCCTCAGCAAGCCCATCAAGAGATTCGTTAGTTCAGGTGATGTTCCAGGTGGTATACTAAAAAAAAAGAGAGAATATATCATACTTTTTCTTCTACATTATTTTTTACTATAATTGTTTTCTTCTTAATGGAAAATTAAAAAAAAATAAGGATTTTAAAATAGACCAAGTTAAAAAATTAGAAAAAGCTAGTATGATTAAATTATGTGATATATGACGCAATAAAGAATTCTATAAAAATATTCTATAAAAAATTTTCTACTTATCAAAGTTATATTTCAATATATAATTAAGAATTATTTCCATCCAATTTCAATATAAATTATATAAATTGACATAAAAGATAAAAAACTTTTGTTAGACATCTCTGTACCTAGGAACAAGATTCACAGTGTTTTCATAGATCGACTTAAGTGCATGAGGATTATTTGCGGGATGTGGTGCCTTCCCAGTAAGACACTGATATAATATAGTCCCAACGGACCACAGATCTGCCTTGGCGTCATATTGAAGAGACATGATAACTTCGGGTGCCATGTACATTGGCGAGCCACACAAAGTCGCAGCCATTACGCCCTCCTGCAGGAACCTAGCAAAACCAAAATCCGCTGAAACAAAAAGAAATGTATTAATATCATTTATTCAGAGAGAAATCAATCTTAAGAAAGAATAAAAAGTAAAGAAATATTCTTACCTATCTTCAGTGTTATTTCATGTGGCTGTGGACAGGCTTTACCACAGTTGTGATTCAATAGGATATTCTGTGGCTTCAGATCTCTGTGGACGATACCTTTGGCGTGCAATACTTTCATCGCACGGACCAACTGCTTGAGAAACAGTCGGATGGTATCCTCGGAAAGAGTACCTTTTGCTATTACGAAAGATACGAATTATTTATACATTAAATCCCTAGTTATTCTATAATACATTAAAATTTTATAATATTATATTCATCTTATTCAAATATTGTTCAATTTTTAAAAATTTGTGTCTGCTCACCATTTAAATAATCTCCCAAATCACCACCGTTGCAATACTCCATAACCAGGAAGACATTATGATTAGATTCCTATATCAAAAGGACATTAATTTTAATAATTTCATCATAATATACAGTTTCTGTAAAGATAATGGTCTCACCTTACAATCGTATAATGCAACAACGTTTTCATGATGTAGTTTAGTTAATGCCTATAAGATAAAACACATATAATTTTAATATAGCAAAAATATCATACACATAATATTATACAATAT